AACACTGTCAAGCATGTTTTGAGATATTTAAAAGGGACCAAAGACAAAGAACTATGTTACAAAAAGGGTGAAAATGATAACCTGATTCATGCTTATAGTGATGCGAATTGGGCAACTGATGTAAACGATAGACGGAGCACTACAGGTTACTGTGTTAGCCTAAATAAAAATGGTCCACTGGTCTCATGGAAGACCAAAAGACAGCCTACTGTTGCACTGTCGACTTGTGAAGCAGAGTATATGGCTTTAGCTGCAACTGTCCAGGAGTGTTTATTTCTACAGCAATTGTTAGAAAACATTGATGGTAAGAAATATGAATCGAGAGTGTATGAGGACAATCAGGGTGCCATTGCTTTAGCAAAAAATCCTGTGTATAGACAACGATGTAAACACGTGGACGTTAAATTTCATTTTGTGAGATCTGTAATCAAGGAAGGCAGAATTAATTTGGAATACTGTCCAACGGATGATATGGTTGCGGATGTGCTAACAAAACCAGCAACAAAGTTCAAGTTAATGAAATTTAACTCCTTTATGTTTGGTGTATAAAATTTGTACTTATATTGAAATGATAAAATGGAAATAAGAGAAATAGAAATGTGAGAGCAAGTGGGGGTGTTGAGATTGATAAATATTGTGCTCTCATTTATATTTGATTTGTTTATTTTATTTTGGAACAAAGCAATCATGTTGCATAGTGTATGTCATGTGACCCTTTAGTGATTGATTGGATGCACATGTGTCTGTTTAAATAAACTGCGCCAGTCAGAAAGAAACTGGTTGATGTGAAAGTATTACCCTGTTGTCTGCCTAAGTTAATCTGCTAACAAAACACCAATAATAAACAATTCTGTAGTTGGCTACTTTATTTAATGATCACCTAAACATCATCTTGCTGTAAAGAAAAAAGGAAGAAAAACTGTGTTCTTGACTTTACTTTTCGTCTTCAATTGCATTAAAAAAAACTCATAAGTCGCTTTGCATAATCATAAAATGATATGTTGATTCGGCAGGGGCAACTCCATCGATGTATGATGTGGAATAGCCTACAAGGACCGATAGCACATGTCTCATGATGTTTAAAAAAGAAAGCAAAAGATGTTTGTAAATGGTAGTTATATTGCACTGCTCTGTTGAAGTGTCCCTTGAGATTTTTTTGAACTTTGGACAGCTTTGTGGGTTTGAAATATATGGGGGCACAAAATGGGCAGTGAAAATAACTGCAGCATTTATGACATTTCTACAAAAAGTTCAAGGTTAAAGGCTAACGTAAACGTAAGCTATCTAAATATTTTCGGGGTGAAGAGGGCGAAAAAACATACATTAACGGCTCAAATCTTGTTACAAACCATCTTTACAAATATTAAATGGACTTTTCATATGTTGTATCGATGAGCTAAATTAGTTTTATTAATCAAACGAGTAGCCTAGGCTACTACGATTCTCTAAATAAAATTGAAGATAGCCTACTCACGTTTTGGCTTAAGTTCTTCACAATCCGATACGATTTGATAGGAGGCGCTGTCTCGAAAAACGAGGGGTCTGAGAATGCGGGACTCTGGGTGCAGGGGGACTGTAGATGCAGGTCTCCGAGTCTGCAGCTTCTTACTACTCATTCTTATGGAAAGTTATTTTTTCTGAAATCCGTCTAGTCAATAAGATTTTTAATCTATCTAGTCTATAGGGCTAAAACTCCTCAAAGTCAATGTTTAATAACGAATTCATTAAAATTCTCATAGAATCAAGAGCATTAGAGAACTACACAAACGCTCTTTATTTGAGAAGATGGGTGGCTCTTAAAAGAGCCTTTGGGGTAGTTGAAGTCGGGCACGCCTCACTTCGAGCTGGTGTATTTGGTGACGGCCTTTGTGCCCTCGGACACGGCGTGTTTGGCCAGCTCTCCGGGCAGCAACAAACGCACGGCGGTCTGGATCTCTCTGGAAGTGATGGTGGAGCGCTTGTTGTAGTGCGCGAGGCGAGACGACTCACCGGCGATGCGCTCGAAGATGTCGTTGACGAAAGAGTTCATAATGCCCATCGCCTTGGAGGAGATGCCGGTGTCAGGGTGGACCTGCTTCAGGACTTTGTAGACATAGATGGCGTAGCTCTCCTTCCTGGACTTTCTGCGCTTCTTTCCTCCCTTACTGGCGGTCTTGGTGACGGCCTTCTTGGAGCCTTTTTTAGGCGCGGACTTTGCTGGTTCAGGCATGATGATGCGATACTATAAGACTGACGAGTAAATGTAAACTACAGTGTGCGATACAGAGGCATTTATTCACTGCCCTATGGTAATTTTATAGGCCAAACCCGTAAACTCGTACTTTATTGGACAACTCAAAGCATCACAAGAGCAACGAGGGCCAATCACAGGCGGATAAATGATATAGTCCCACCCACCGCTGCTTGTTGAAACCATAGGTTTGAACGCCTTTCCTCCCAGTTTCCTTTGTTTCGTTTCCCGCTCCTTTTTATTCATTTATTTATTTATTTTTTGTTCGAAAAGAATCGGTTCTAATAATATTGCGCATCATGAACAAAGCCCACTTGACCGTGTGTGCGCAATACAAACATTTTCACTTAAATCATATTTATTTTTTTTCTTGTTAATTTTGGAAAAGAGCGTTCGTTAAACTGTTTAGCGAGTAATCCAAAAACAGTGAGTTATTTATGTACTTACCATCTGCTAAAGAAAAGCAAATGTTTGTAAAAGTCTGTGTAAAGATATTTGGTGGGGTGTCATAGATTCAGAAAACAAATTAGTTTAATGATTGGTATAATCAAAACATTGACTCTTTATGTGTCAGAGTGTGTGGCTCTTAAAAGAGCCTTTTGTTTAATGTGGTTTGTTTCAGGCGTTTATCCCCCGAAGCCGTACAGGGTGCGTCCCTGTCTCTTCAGCGCGTACACAACATCCATGGCGGTGACGGTCTTTCTCTTGGCGTGCTCGGTGTAGGTGACGGCATCGCGGATCACGTTCTCCAGAAACACCTTCAACACTCCGCGGGTCTCCTCGTAGATCAGACCGGAGATGCGCTTGACGCCGCCGCGGCGAGCAAGACGACGAATAGCGGGTTTGGTGATACCCTGGATGTTATCGCGCAAAACTTTACGGTGACGCTTAGCGCCTCCTTTCCCGAGTCCCTTACCGCCTTTGCCTCTTCCAGACATGTTTCACACTGAGTGATTCTATCGATCAAGGAAAGAACATAAATGAATACTATGTGTACTACAAGGAAGATTTTTACATGTGCTTACAGGACCTGACAGAAACCACCGCCGCGTCACGCGTCACATGACACACACACACACACACACACACACACACACACACCTCCCCCAAAATATAGTTAGAGCACCCTGACCTTAGGTTCATTTTGCAATTTGTGCAATTTATTTTCACAAAGGTGGATTCCGCAAAGGAAGTGATTAGGAAAGCCAAGACAAACAAAGACATGGTAGTAGCTGTCTTTCTTTTTTTGATATCGAAAAGACATGATGATATGCTGTGGAAAGAAGTAATCCTTATAAAACGGAATTAATTGGTTAGAGGAGGTAGACTGCAATTGGGTATTAGACTTCTTGGTTGGTGGAACATTGGAGATTGGGGAACAACTAGGTCTTCATTGCAAAATAAATACTGGCTTTTATGAGATCTACTTTTGATTATGGTTGTATTGCTTAAATCGAAAGCCCTAAGAATATGTAGTGGGGTTTTTAAAACATCTCCAGTTGCTGGTTGGGTATCAGAAGACTTAAACTAATACTAGCATATTGTGTAAACCTGCAGGAACATAATGAATCCCTTCCTGCAAAGACTACGCAGGTGTGTTGGGAACGTAGTAAATCTCATTTTAGAAGTTTTGGATAGGTTGTGAATAAAAAAGCAAGGGAAATAGGTTTGAATACTTTTGTCCTTCTGTCCCATATTCAAATATCCTACTTGGATGGTTATAATGCCAATGATTGATTTACAAATGCATAAGGAAATATAAGATAATTCAAAGCACATACCTGTCTGGTTTGTTGTACAAAGATACTTAGAAAGTAATTGTCCTAATAAAATATTGATATTCACAGATGGTTCAAAGAAATGGACATATGGGTCCTGCAGTGTGAATCCCACAATGTGGAAAATGCATCAAGAAAAGAACAACAGATAATCTTTTAGTTTACACAGTAGAACTGCTAGCCATTATATTGGGATTACAGTGGGTAGATGAATGTAACACACAACATGTTTCAGTTGCATCTGATAGTTTGGCACTCACAAGATTAAATCAGGGAAATCATGCAGGCCTGAAATGCTAATTGAAATATATCAAATAATATATAGATTGCATAATAAAGGTTTGAGTATATGGTTTGTTTGTGTTCTTGCACATGTTTGGGTGAAAGGAAATGAAGTGGATGTGTTGGCTAAACAATCCCTTAACATTTGTGATATTTTTGAAACTCAAACTATATGTATCGTGAAATATTGCGGATCAACCCCAAATCAATACAGACGTTTCAAAATGTGTTAAATATCAACATAAATGAGATATGACATCTTTCTTTTTTAGTATCTTAAGGTAATGTTTACTAATATTATATATCACAACTAATATTAGCAGCTTATTGTTGTTGTTTTTCCACTGAAGAAAGCTAAAATTAAAATACTACTTTCCGCAGTCTGAATGTCCAGCACCATGAAGTACAGAACTTTTGAAGTCATATAAACCACATAGTCAAAAGAGACTTCATTATAAAATATAATATAACGTTACTAGTTACAATGTGCGTGTGTGTGTGTGTGTGTGTGTGTGTGTGTGTGTGTGTGTGTGTATATATATATATATATATATATATATATATGTAAAACAAACTGTATATTTTAACAATCTTGTTCTACAGTCTATCATGCCTCAAGTAGAAAAAAAAAGTGTATTTATCTTGTGGTGCACATTACCTGTTTTATGATAAATTCATGATTTAGGACAGTATTTTCACTATATTTTATATAAACTTCGAGGTGATTCAATTTATTATCGGCATCACACACCTTTATATTACATAGACTACATAGGAAATTCTCTCAATCAGTGTAAACTTTAGTGGCTCTTAAAAGAGCCGTTGTGGGTTGAATTAGACGCCGGTTTAAGCGCGCTCTCCTCGGATGCGGCGGGCCAGCTGAATATCTTTGGGCATGATGGTGACCCTCTTAGCGTGGATGGCGCACAGGTTGGTGTCCTCGAACAGACCGACCAAGTAAGCCTCGCTAGACTCCTGCAGGGCCATGACAGCGGAGCTCTGGAAGCGCAGGTCCGTCTTGAAGTCCTGAGCGATTTCTCTCACCAGCCGCTGGAAGGGCAGTTTGCGGATCAGTAGTTCGGTGGACTTCTGATAGCGGCGGATCTCCCGCAGAGCCACGGTCCCGGGCCGGTAGCGGTGAGGCTTCTTGACGCCGCCGGTGGCCGGAGCGCTCTTACGGGCAGCTTTAGTAGCGAGCTGCTTCCTCGGGGCTTTACCACCGGTGGATTTACGAGCGGTCTGCTTTGTTCTCGCCATTGCTGCTGTCTTCTTCACTCTGTCCTGCTTGCGCTGGAAATGTTGCTCTCTATTTTAGACGCCCGATTTTAAAGCACTGCAGCGCCACGAGCTATGATGCAGGTCTTGTGATTGGTTAGTATGTGACGTCTGCGCATGAGTGCCAGCCAATGACTGCGTGTTTCCTCTTTTCAAACAAAAGGAGGGTTTCCCGCTCGAGCGGTTTTGTTCCGTTGACTACTTTGGGCGTCTTTATACTCACAATATTGTATTTATTTGTATATGAATCGCAATGGTTGTGCAGATCTCGGATTCGAACGAAATCATATTACAGTCTATGTAAAAGCACGGCCTCGAGACTAAGACACACTACTAAGGTTTCAGTCCTCCCCGTGAAACAGGGATCAGTAGATCAGCCCCGCTAATAAAGTGACAAATACCCAGAGGTAGATTGACCAAATCCTGTTTCCCTGAATTCGATATGTAAATTACCCTTTATTTTAGATTATAATTTATTACAATATTCAATATATCATCAAAGCATGGCATACAACTATATTTTAATCTCAGAGGAAATGGATTAGGTGGTAGTCACACTTTAGGTGATCATCATGTGTTTCTAACGTGCACAACGTCAACTGTAACATTCATCGTGGAGGTAGACACTAGTCGTTAGGTGGGTTATTTTCCTCCTTGACCAAACGTGTTTATAGTGTTTGTAGATATTAACAGAGAAAAGCGCTCGTTGACAGATAAAATAGGTGGCTCTTAAAAGAGCCTTTGTTTCAGTAATCGAGTCTGTGATCCGTTTACTTGGTTTTGGCGGGTTTCTCGGTCTTCTTAGGCAACAGCACGGCCTGGATGTTGGGCAGCACGCCGCCCTGAGCGATGGTCACTCGCCCAGAAGTTTGTTGAGCTCCTCGTCATTACGCACCGCCAGCTGCAAGTGACGGGGGATGATGCGGGTCTTCTTGTTGTCCCGAGCGGCGTTTCCGGCCAGCTCCAGGATCTCAGCGGTGAGGTACTCGAGCACCGCCGCCAGATAAACGGGAGCTCCGGCACCGACGCGCTCGGCGTAGTTTCCTTTCCGCAGGAGCCTGTGGACACGGCCGACGGGGAACTGCAGTCCCGCCCTGGAGGAGCGAGTCTTAGCCTTTGCTCGGGCTTTACCGCCGGTTTTGCCTCTACCGCTCATTTTCAACGCAGATATTACCGTTTAAAGTAATACAATGACGGTGGTGTGTCTCCACATACTGTCTTTAAACTAGAGTGCCAGTCGCCCATTGGTTTAGAGTCTGTAAATATTCAAACCAATCACTGAACTTCTGCCCGAAAGCCCAACCCCGCCCAAATCCCTGGCGTGGATTGCTTGCTATGCACACGTATTAATGACCATATATATATATATATATATATATGTACTAAAAATTATATTGTACGCTGTTTCTTCCAAACGTGCTGCACTTTTCATAGGCTACTGCACCGTATTATGTTCCTATTGTAATATTGGAGTCTAATCAGTGCCCATATTGTTAAATGTGGGTTGTTTCGTCACAATTCTCCCGCATTGTGTATTTATTCGGTCTGTACTGTTGTACAACATCCTATTTACTGTGATCACTGTCTGAACCCTCCTCAGCTTTTTTCCCTTTTTTCTGCTTTTTACAATACATGTCTTATATATAAATAATGGATACCATTACTTTGTTGTCTTCTTTCAAACTGTCTGTGTTTTGACTTGTTTCTTCAGAATGAATTAGTCCAAGAGGTTAATTTTAGTTGCTTTCAAAATGAACACACATCATTGATATAAACGAGTTTTGCTCTTTTTCAGAGTTAGTGGGTGGCTCTTAAAAGAGCCGTTGAGGAACAAACACTGGACTTTATTTCTTTTTGGGCGCTGCCTTTTTAGGCTTGGCGGCTTTGGGTTTTGCAGCTTTAGGTTTCGCAGCCTTTGCCTTTTTAGGGCTCTTGGCTGCTTTCTTAGCGACTGCTGGCTTCTTTGCCTTCTTGGGGCTCTTCGTCGCCTTCTTGGCGGCCTTGACTGCGGGCTTCTTGGCCTTCTTGGGCGATTTCTTGGCGGCGGGCTTCTTTGCCGCTGCGCTCTTGGGCTTCTTGGCAGCGACGGGTTTCTTGGCCGCGGGCTTCTTCGCTTTAGGGGCCGCTTTCTTGACCGGTTTCTTCTTGGTCTCGGCTTGCTGCTTGTTGAGCTTGAATGAGCCCGAGGCGCCGGTCCCTTTGACCTGCTTCAGGGTGCCTTTAGTCACCAGGCTCTTGATGGCGATCTTGACGCGGGAGTTGTTCTTCTCCACGTCGTATCCGCCGGCAGCGAGCGCTTTCTTCAGCGCGGCGAGGGACACGCCGCTCCTCTCCTTGGATGCGGACACCGCTTTCACGATGAGCTCGCCGACGCCTGGACCTGCTTTCTTGGCTTTAGCAGCGGACTTCTTCTTGGGCGCTTTAGCCGGGGCGGCTGCAGCGGGTGCGGGAGCGGTTTCTGCCATTTCTCTCTTTCCGAATGAACAGTCTTTCTCACTCTTGTCTCAAGTTTCAGCAATGAATGGCGCTCTCGCGGCGCTGCGCTCTTAAACAACGCATGAGAACCTTATAGACTCAACCTTCCCGCTTGGCGTCTGGGCGCGTCCATGAGCTATTCTCTCGTGTGTTTTCTTCTCGTACATTTGGTTAAAAAGTGGAGTGCTGAAATACTTTGGTTCAGCCAAACACATTGGACACCAAGCAGAGGTTCTGAGCTTCCATTTGGAGACTAAAATACCCAATGATGAAATGTTGATTTGCCTTTGTCAGATCAAATCCAAGGCGAGTATCAGCCACGAGGAAAAGCAGCATGTAAATATGATGGATGTTTAAGTGGAAAAGTTGATAAAAGCCTGGATCCGTCGTCTGTGTGTTCAGCTAACAGTCTGAAATAGATTTTAATGAAATCAGCATCAGCGAGGGGTGTGAGGAGGCTTTCATACACGTGTTTTTGTGGCAGCTTAAAGCACACGAACATCATCAGTCTCTCTGTGAATCTCATGTCTGACCAACAGATGATCTGTCCTTAAAATAATCATAATTTGTTTTAATATTAATAATAAATACAATGTCCATAAGATGACGTACATCATATCACCTACATCATATCACGTAAATAAAAATGTAAATCCACATATTTGTTTATCCTTATTCGTCATTTATCTCAGTTTCCATAATGTGAATAAGGATGTGTAAAAGCTGATCTGAATGAGCCGCTCATATAAGGCAGAGCAAGTGACTTTAAAACAACTGCTTTTTGCAGTTTCATATTTCTTGTACCTTTCTGGACAATGTTTGAAACTTTGTATTGCTATGCCATTGTCGCTTGTATTTCTCCATAGGTCGCTTTGGATAAAATCATCTGATAAGTTATGTGATAAAGATCAGGTCACTAATTGTAAGTTTGTTCTATTTTGATTTAACCACCACTGAATGCTAATTCATAAAACAGTCATATAATTTGCACTATATGTTTGATATATTTGCACGGATGTCAGGTTTTGGTAGTACTAGTAAACCAAAACCATATCAAGATAATGAAGCTGCAGAATTACACAGGCAGGTTTAACTGGGATCAGTGATAAAGCATGAGGACACTGGAGCTGAAGGGCTGATAATAACTAAATTAAAATTTTTTGAATGAAACACTCAAAAACAATTCAGTTGCTTTGAAGTTTTCAAATTAATTCCTAAAATGTGTTTCTTGGAGTTGAAGACAAAAGGGGATACAAGAGTATTCTGATCCAAGACAATATTTGTCTGTTAGATTCTTTTTCAGGTATTCTCTGCAGCCTCGAAGCGTCTGTCAGTCATCAGATGGAAACAGGCCTGGACCCCTGTGATGTGTGGCATCAGTGTGAGATCGATGCTCAAAACACAGAGACAGTGAATTATCACATTCCCAACTTTATTAATGAAGAAGGGTCATATTTATAACGATATGGGAGGTGTTAAATACATCATCAGGAGGTATAGTGATCACTACCCTATAATAGTTAAGATCGGAGAGATACATCATGAGGAAAGCTCAAGAATTAAAAGGTGGAAATTAGATGGAGCAGATTGGGATACATTAAAAAAAAATGTAAGGATAAGTGTGAGAGTTTAATTAAAGAATATTTATCAGATGGGGAACTTAATAAAAAGTGGAAGTCATTATATAAATACAGCAGAGCAAACGATACCAAGAAGTACAGGGAGCAGAGTGAAAAAGAATGTACCATGGTGGGATGTAAATTGTAGCAAAGTTGTTAAAAGAAGAAACAAGGCTTTTAGGCAATAATAAAAAAAAAACATCATTCACTAGAGACATTAATTAATTTTAAAAGATCACAGGCCATAGTCCGTAAGACTATAAGAACAACAAAACGTGCATACTGGAGGGACTACTGCAATAAGATTGGAAGAGAGACATCACTGGCTGATATATGGGGAACGGTTATAGGTAAATTAGTGGAATCAGAAGGAATTATATAATGCCTGCCTTAATAAGTGGCAATAAAACAGCAATCAGTAATATGGATAAGGAAGAAATGCTGGCAGAAACTTTAGTTAAAGTACATAGTTCAGATAATTTATTAGTCGAAGCCAAAAAGTGCAAAGACAACAATCTTGCCATAAACCCAGGTGTCAATATAAAGAAGAGCACAACAACTAATGATTTAGATATACCATTTAATTTATATGAGTTAAGAAGGGCTATCTCAAAGACAAGACAATCATCTCCAGGGAAGGACAACATCCGTTATAGCATGTTAGCTCACTTGGAAGATAGCGTACTTACTGTAGTGTTAAGTTTATATAAACAGATTTAGCAAACAGGCAAAATACCAATAGTATGGAAACAATCAATCATAGTACCAATAGTAAAACCTGGGAAAGACCCATCAGACCCTTCAAGTTATAGACCAATTGCACTCACATCACAGTTAGGGAAAACCATGGAACGTATATGATAACAGACAGATTGACAATGACATTCTTTCTAGAAAGCAGAGATTTGTACTCACCACATCAAAATGGGTTTCGGAAAGGGAGAAATACAATTAGGCTGTGGGACAGAGGATTGATTGGTACCATTTTGAGGGATTAAACCGCATGGTGATTTTTTTGTATTTTGTGTTCAGGGTATATGACCCTGTTATTGAAAAATGTGTGATAGCATTAGATTAAATTAAATTTCATTAAATTTGGGGTCCCATCTCATGGCCCAAATTGACTCAATTTATGTTTGGAATCTAAAATCAAAAAAGCTCAGACAAATGGGGAGGTTGTGGTAGCTGTCTTTTTTATATTGAAAAGGCATATGATATGTTATGGAAGGAAGGGTTACTTATTAAATTAAACAAATTAGGTGTAGGTGGTAGACTGTACAACTGGGTGCTGGAATTTTATTTGGCAGGACAATAGAGATCAGGGTGGGTACAGAATATTCAAGACTTTATAAAGTTGAAAATGGTACTCAACAAGGCAGTGTATGTAGTCCAGTACTATTTAACATCATGATCAATGATATTTTTGAAAAAGTGGAAAGAAATATTGGGAAGTCACTAGCTGTATATGCAGATGATGGGGCCCTATGGATAAGAGGATGGACATTTATTCAGAAAAAAAAAAAAAAACAGGCAGCAATTGTGGGGTTTTAATGTGTTGGGTGCAAAGACACAACTGATATGTTTTTCCAGAGGACATAAATAAGAGTCATTAAAATTATATAATCAAACACTTGAACAAGTAAAAGTTATCAAACTATTAGGAGTACTGTTTGATGAAAAGTTGACCTGGAAACGGAAACAGCACACTGATAAAGTTAAAGACAAATGAAAAAAAATCAATAACCTCTTAAAATGTGGAGCGTTTAAGACTTCTCCAGTAGTTGCCATGCAAGTGGAAATGGGGGAACAGCCACTAGAATAAGAAGAACAAAAATTATGCTAACATACTGGGTTAATCTTCAGGGACACTGTATATAAAATATATTAAATATCTGAAAAATACGGGGTTAATGGAAAGGATATAGGTTTATTTATTTATTATAATTATTATTATTATTATTATTATTATTATTATTATTATTTTCCAAATGTTAGTCTGCGCAGAATATATTCCACACTCCAGTCCGGTAGGTGGCGGTAATGCTCCTAAATGCTGGCTGCCAACCGCCAATCAAATCAAAGAAGAAGAAGTGAAATCTGCCCTCAATGCGCTCACCAAGACGGCCGACCAAAGCGGGAAGAAACTTCTACAATCCAGAAATAAAGAGAGTTAGCCAAATTACAAATTTGAATCCTGTTTTCCCGTAGACAGTAAAAGAAAGGATTTTTTTCCTGTTCTCATTTAGCGCTGGTCTGGCCTCACCCACCGGCAGAGTGCGTCATTCACATGATAATGACCTGAATGTGTGAAACTCCCTCGATCAACAGGATAAAACTGGCGGCAAACTCTTGTCTGGCTTTATTGACTTTTCCTCAAGATGGCTCACGAGGAAGCTCTTCGGATGATCATAGACAGCGAGGAAGAATTCACTTGTTCGTCAGAGTCAGAAGATGATGAAGACTTTGATGATGAAGACCTGCATCCAGCGCAGGACACATTTTCTGAAGAGTAAGCCGTTTATAATTCTTTTAGTTGTTAGAGTCGCATATAAGTTAGTTGTTTCAAACCAATATGGTATATATGTTATATATATATATATATATATTACCAATGAATCAACAAAAAAAAAACTAGGGAAATAAAACTACTTCTAAAATTGACATCTTTCTCTCTTCTCGACTGCCTTTATCAAGTTCTCTCTCTATTTTATTTTTTACTCTTTTGAAAGTTGTGAAAACACTATTGTGACGTTTTTCTGTTGCTATTTGATCAAATTAAAACTAAATATACATTTCATGTAAACTCTCATTCCCTACTTATGACTTTTACCCAACTAGGATGATTTTCTCTTCTGAGAAACCTGGATATGTGATCAGGGTCTATCACTTATGTTATCCAAGCTGGCAAACTAGCGCACGCATAAGCTAACAAATGTTTACTTCTATTTGTGCTTGTTGTTTTTCTCTTCTTAGGAATGTGATTCCTTCACGTGGACCTTACACAAGACGCAAACATCGTTCAGTTTTCAGCACGGTTGAGAATATTGAGTAAGTGCATGTTTACCCCGTCATTTTACAAGTGACAGATTCATTTAAGTTCCATATACTGTGGAATAATATAAACAAGCAAGTATATTTGCATGGATGAGCGCAATCACTTTTTAATGAGTGGGCAAAATTTCAGTATACGAATAATAATGGTGTTGTGATCCTGTTTTCAACAAGCTCATTTGTATTCTCCCCCACAGATGTGAGAGTGACAGTGACCAGATTCCTGTTTTAAAGAGAGCCAAGACTCCGTCATGGAGAAAAGAGACTGATGTCGATGTGGCTCCGAAGTCTCTGAGATTCCTGCCGGCTCGGGAGCCTGGGCCACAGTTGAATCTTGCTGATTCGCACTCTCCTATGAGTCTTTTCAAACTGTTTTTCTCAGAGAGCGCCGTGTCCAATCTGTGCCACAACACAAACGCTCAGGCTGCCAGAGCACTCGCAAAGGGTCGTAAATACAGTTGGGCAGATGTCAGTGTTGGCGATCTGTACCGCTACATTGGACTCGTTTTCTACATGGCCTCTTTGAAGATGAGCTCCATCGCTGACTACTGGCGACAGGACAGTCTCTTCTCTTTGCCTTTTCCCTCCACAGTCATGTCTAGGGAACGATACCGCACCATTTCATGGAATTTGCACATGAGCCACCCAGACGCAGACAAGGAAAATGACAAAAAGAAGGGAACAGCTGAACATGACCAGCTTTTCAGAGTAAGACCCCTCATGGACACTATCCGTCTTGCATGCAAAACCTTTTATCATCCCAGAAGAAATTTAGCTGTGAAGGAAAGACTGGTAGCATGCAGAGCAAATGCAGGAATGAGAAGATTCATGAAAGCCGAGCCAGCAAAGCTGGGCTTCAAGTTTTTTGTCCTTACTGACTCGTCGAATGGATATACTGTGGACCTCTCTGTGTACACGGGCAAGAACATCTTTCCCACAGGCCTTGGGCTTTCTTATAATGCCGTGATGTCTCTCCTGGACAAGAAAGTTTTGGGCTCTGGGTACCATGTGTACATGGACGATTTCTACACAAGTCCAAAGCTCTTAACTGACTTGTTTGCTATGAAGTTTGGTGCTTGTGGGACTTACAGAGACTATAGGAAGGACTTTCCACAAAGCTCATCTAATTCACTGACCAAAAAGTCCAGCAGGGGATCCATCCGGTGGATTCGGGATGGGCCTCTAGTGTATGTGAAGTGGATGGACAAACAAGAGGTGTCCATTTGCTCCACCATCCATGCTGCCTATACAGGAGACCGTGTGCAACGAAAAGTAAAAGCACATGATTCACGGTGGACAAAGTCTTTTCCATGTCCTGCGCCAGTAACCGCTTACAACCGGCACATGACAGGTGTTGACCCGTCCGACCAGCTGTTGCAGTATTACACCGTACAGCACAAAACCATGAAGTGGTACAGAAAAGTATTTCTACAGTTCTTGGATGTTGCTGCCACCAACGCTTTCATCTTGCACAAGGAGCTACACGGCAACATGACACACAAGGTGTTTATGGAAGAGCTTATTGAAGAGCTCTGTGGTGTGTCTGAGAAATCAGATCCAAAAAAGACCTGTAAGGACCATGTGCCGGTTCCAGGAGCTGAGCTTACCTCAGATGTCAGAAAGATTGCCACTGTTGGTCGCCGCATATGTGTGCATTGCAAAGCAGTGCGTAACAAGAAGCAACAAACACCATGGAAATGCCAGGCATGTGACGTTCATTTGTGTCTTCAGTTAAACAGGAACTGTTTCCAGGAATGGCACAACAATTTTTGAGTGTTCAAACCTGGGTGCACAAAAATGTGCCTTCAATTACACACCCTCTTTTGTATTTGATTTTATTATGTACACTATTTTTTAAATAAACTATAAATGTGTGAGAATGTAAGGAGACTTTCTTTCTTTTTCTTTTTTTCATATTAATAGACCCTTTAGGGAACAAAACAATATTTCCCCATGTGCTGAATGCAGTTTTTATGACCACTGGCATTTTCCTTATGGTGTAAATAGCTGAAATAAGCAAAAATCCAACATCTTCAGGATTCAAAAAGCACCTCAGATTAAATGGGGTTTTAAATATTAAATACTTGATTGGAGATTTAAGATCTCAGTGAACTATTTTGAAAAAAAAAAAATAGAAAGGGTAACATCTCCATGTATTCAAGGAATTTCTGAACTGTCATTGGTTTTGCCTGCGTAATCCATTGAACATTTCCCATCAACTTGAGCACTGTGGCCTCAAGGGAAGGCAAAAAGGAGAAAATTCCCTGCCAGTTTAAGCCTCCGTTTCAAATGCTGTCAGTCACACCCAGTTTACCAAAGTGTGTGAAATGACAGAAAAGGGGTTGATTATTAAGTAATATAATTATTTGCCTGTATAATAAAAGGAAGTCCCAATCATGTTAATTCAGTGCATTATTCATTTTTCTATCAATATTTCTATCACTTTCCACTTCCGCTCTTAAAAGACAGTCTCTGGACACACCCTTGAGAAAAGCCTTGTCAGCGAAGTTTGCACCCCTCACTTCTTCGGGGTGTCCCTTCGACTGCGGCCCGACTGAGGAACCACTCCTCCAGTATATTTTGATACTTTAGTAAAGAAATTTTAGTTAAAAATGTAATGGCACATTGGGGGAAAACTAGTCATATTTAAAACCTTATGTATAAGTGTTGTCTTGCATACTGTAATGTACTTGAAGTATCAAGAGTAAAAGTAAAGGTATTGTTGAAAACTTTTTCTTCTAAAGTGTAGGAACTCCAAAGCGAAGACCAGGAGACTTGGCTGAGATTTCTGAACGAAGCAGACTACAGTGATGCAACAGAAATAAAGATTCTTGCCTAAAAAGATACAACCAAGTCTTCGCTTCTGAGTTCCTACATGTTAGAAGAAAAAGGGTTCCAACATATGTATTCTAAAGAAAAAAAAAAGTACTTGTTAGTAGGGATGAGCGAGTACAGCATTATCTGTATCTGTATCTGTATAACCATATGAATTATCTGTATCTGTACTCGGACTGGGCGGGGCCTAAACCCGGAAGTGGGTCGGGTAGTCTTGAAATGGGCGGGGCTTTAACCGGTATGTTATTTCAAGCATGCAATTGATATGGGTTGATCAGAAATTGTTATATTTATTGCTGATAAGAAAACTATTTACATGACAGCATCAGCATTGAGCTTCAGATCAATGGTTTTGATCACGATAACAACGAACTACAGAACAAGTTTTGCAACAATGAATACAACACATGTGGTTGCAAATATGAAGTAAAATGTAACGAACAAGAGTTTTCATCTGAACTAGGGCTGGGTGATATGGACCAATAGTCATATCTCAATATATTTAGGCTGAATTTCAATATACAAAATATATCCCGATATTTTTTCTGCAAAGTGAGAGCAAATGTTCAGTCAAAGCCAAATATGACATGTCACAAGTAGTTTTATTGAAACATGAACATTTGCAAAATCAAATGAATAAATAATTAACAGGTTTCTTCACCTTAGGGCTGCATGATTATGACAAAAATCTTAATTGCAGATTATTCCCTTGGAATTGTAATTGTGATTTATTAATTGGTTTATTTATTTTGTCAATACAACGTTGGTATGAGCCATTACATTCATTTAAAAAATATAAAAAATAACACAAAGAAAAATAGGGGCATTAAGGGGTTAATATAGACATGACAGTTACCTTGGTGAATAGACAATACTGTTAATGAAACATTGAAACTGCTCCTGGTGAATAGAATTAAAATCATACCTGCTTTGTTTTTATTTCGTGTTATTTACAACGCAACAGTGTTGCATGCTCGTTGTTTCTTTTGCACTTTATATACAGTGAGACGATCCAGCGCGCGCCGCCGCATTTGCGCGTGCAATTGAGTGTGCGCTACCTATGAAGGTAGATTTGTGTCTTTATTATTCAATCAAAAAAAATGTTGCTTCAATCAAAAAATACATTTTCAATTAAAAAAACCTTCACTTCAATGAAAAAAAAACTTTTCAATCAAAGAAAAAAAGTATTTGAATCCAAAAATATATTTGAGACTCAAAAAAATACATTTGAAAACTGCTTTTCTTTGATTGAAAATGTTTTCTTTGATAGAAGTCCGGTTTTTTTTGTTTAAAGCAACCTTTTTAATTAAAGTAACATTGTTTTTTGATTGGACCATATAATGGGTAGGACATTTGTGTCTTTATCATTCAATCAAAAAAAGAAGTTGCTTCAAACAAACAAATAACATAATCAATAAAAAAGTCACTTCAATGAAAAGATAAACATTTTCAATTAAAAAAACCTTCACTTCAATGAAAAAAAAACTTTTCAATCAAAGAAAAAAAGTATTTGAATCCAAAAATATATTTGAGACTCCAAAAATTGCATTTGAAGTTTTGAACACTTTTTTTTTTTTGATTGAAGACGTTCTCTTTGATTGAAGTAATCTTTTTTGTGTTTGGGCCATACATGGGTAGGACATTTGTGTCTTAATAATTCAATCCCAAAAAAGTTGTTTCAATCAAAAAAATTATTTTCAATCAAAGAAAAAACTGTTCAAATGCAAAAAAAAATAAAACGTGAATAAAAAGGGCAATTAAAGAAAATGTGTTAAAGAAAGAAAAGTTCAGATTGTTTTGATCGAATCATTTTTTTTTTTTCGAAGTGCAAAAAGTTTTGAAGTTCAATTTTTTTTGATTGAATCATTTTGAAACAAACGTTCCGAAGTGGGCGGGTGCTTCTCCATTGGTCAGACATGTTTGATTGACAAGTGTCTACACCAACGACATCTTTCTGACAATGAAGTCATGTTCGCGCCACTCGCCAGCAAGCTTTTTGCCAGCAAGACTGGAGGGAGCAGCCGTGAAGTTGTCGGTAAGTAGATAAAACAGGTTGAAAATAATGGGTGTCATATTATTAGCCTATTCTGTTGATATTTACATTAAATTGTAAGCTTACTAACTTAGTTCACGTTTTGTGATGGTGTTAGGTTAGATATCTAGTTAAATATATTCAGACAGGATAGCAAAGTCCGCGAACGGCTAGTTGATAACGTTCGCCGATGCGCTCGGTGAGTCCATCTCTATATGATTTCGCATCTACCACGGGTTTTTTCCTGTGTTACAATGTGTTCCTAAACAGTGCAATCCATACTGTTGTTTACATCCGAGTGCCTCCATAATGGCCGCTCATCCGGGTTACCACCGAGAATGTGACGACGGTTACCCCCCCCCCCCCCCCCATAGATATCTACAGGAAAATACTTCTTTAGTTGAAAGTCCTTCTGACAACAACTAATCTTGCTGTTTGTATTTTATTTAGCTTTCTAATATCATATAGCATTGTCCTGTCAACCAATCACAGGTCTTGCCTTATTCTGTGTTCTCTTCTTTCCTCTAGAGCATAGTCTTTTTGTTTTCACGATTACCTTGGCTGACACACACATCATGTAAGTTAACTGATTTTCATTCTGTCAGGATTCTTTTTGGCCACTCAGCCATATAGACCATTTCACAAGATGTAAACAACACTGGTCCAGAAGCACTTCCTGTTTCAGTTTTTTAACACTACATAAAAGCTGGGATAAAATACAACCAACAGAACATATAAAACTGAATCAAAAAGTTAAACAAACATCTTTAAGATGTTTTCTTTACATGTGAAATAAAGAAAACAGTTACAAACTGAAACAGGAAGTGCTTCTGGACCAGTGTTGTTTACATCTTGTGAAATGGTCTATACATGAATTTAAAAAAAGCAGCGATAAAATAGTGCTTCTCTTGTTCTGCTAATTTTAATTTGCAGGCATCCAATGGCACAACAGCTGCTACTGAGGTTAAAAGATAGATTGATTTCTGTCATCAATAGAGTACCTATTGATTTTGAGTACCTCCTATTTGTCTCCACCCAAGAGTTGCAGTTTATTCAAGCTGGCACACAATACATGGATATTCCTGCAGAGTTGGTGGATGGTCTGCAAGAGTTGATTTCAGTGCTCAGGTCACATCTGTCACAGAATACAGTTCCTCCTCTATTTAGTGATGTAGCCACCGTTTGTTGGAGTGGGAATGTAGGACGGCCAGAACTTCAAATGAGTCGTGACACACTACAGGCATTGCTGGATACCTCTTTACCCCTAGTTCATTTAGCAGAAATGCATGGCATTTCAAGGTCAACTCTTTACAGAAGAATGAAGGACCATAACATTTCAGTGAGGGCATGCTATTCTTTAATTTCTGATGACGAATTAGACCAGAAAGTCAGAGCCATTAAGGGAAGGATGCCGCATGCGGGCTACAGAATGGTCAAAGGAAATCTCCAAGCAATGGGCCTTCGTCTTCAATGGAAAAGAGTGAGGATGTCTTTGCAACGTGTAGATGGTGCAGGTATCATTTCCAGGATGATTCAGCTTCGTTGCATTGCTCGACGACGGTACTCTGTTCCTGCTCCTTTGTCTCTCGTCCACATTGATACAAATCATAAATTGATAAGGTAAATGAATGTCTTATCTGGCAGAACTTATTTAACATTTGTATGATGTTGCTTGTATACCAATGCACTGTGTTGTATGATGTGGGAGTTCTACATAAGCCTGTATTAAACAATGAATAATATATTTTTTCAAATCCATTTTTTTAAAGGTATAACATTGTCATCTTTGGAGGAGTAGATGGATTCTCCAGGAAGGTAAATGTTTTCTATTCATTCACAAGGTATTTACCCTCATTAATAAGTTCACAACATACATGGTACACATCTACCTCTTTCATAGATTTTGTATCTGGACACAGCAGCAAACAACAAAGCATCAACTGCTTTTGGATTCTTCATGGAGAGTGTTGAGAGAAATGGATGGCCCTCAAGGTATATATTTAATTGCAGGAGAAATAAAAGAATGAGGTGCTGCTGATTATTAAGTTATGTCATATATGGGGGGAAAAGCATTTGCTTTTCTTGCAGAGTGAGAGCTGATCAAGGGGTGGAAAATGTCGACATTGCCCGGTGTATGTTTACTGTCCGAGGTACAGGCCGTGGAAGCTTTATAGCAGGCAAAAGTGTCCATAACCAGAGGTAACAAAATTAACTTGTCAACATCTACTTTTTTGATAATCCTACTCATACTGGTGGAGTAAGCAGCACTCTGCTTTTGTGCAATAAAAGACCATTTTTTATAGCAGCTGCTTTGACAGAGCTGAAGGTAAACTATTATTTTTATTGTGATGTTCCCCCAAGCGCGCCTCCATGTCGCAGAACAGACCTGCTGTCAGTTATACATGGAATTGCGTCCAAACTGGATTGCAAAGTCTTACTGCTGAGTTAGGGCCTGACATGTGATGACATGATCAGTTTTTTGAATACATTATGCATGGTTAGCTTCAAAGTAAAGATGTTTTGTATAGCTGTAAAACAAACAAGCATAATTAATATATTAGGAATGAAACATCACTATCCAATTGTAGAGCGGCGTTATTATTATTTATTAGTATTATTTTATTAATAAGACTGACAAGAAGCATTAATGACATTATGTTTGTGTTGTTTTGTTGGTCAATTATGTCAGTATGACCGGATGTTGGTTTATCCTGTCAAGATGGCTTCTTTTCAACATGCTCCATGGCATGCTGGTTATAGTTGGCAGTCACAGCTTATATTGGACAGTGTACACACCTTGGCACTGATTGTAGTTTGCTCTCTCCTATACTCTCCACTCCTGATTGAAATTTCCTGGTGTGAACTAGGGCTGCCACTTCTGATTATTTTGATAATTGACTAGTCATCAGTTATTCTGGTGAGTAGTCGATTAATGAGATCAGATGTAAATTGAAGCATATTCACAGCACCACTCAAAAGTTTGGACACTTACTCATTGAATCAGATGGAAAAATGATAATTCTCGTATGTGTGTGTTTTTATATAATTATCAGTATACAATTCAATAAATCTGACCAGACAGAAAGGCAGACAAGGCAGCAGGATGTACAGAGGCAATCTTGTGAGGAAAAACAAAGCTTAAAAACAATAAACAAGTAGTTAATTATTAAATTATGACGATTAATTTACTAATCAAGGCCGACCTTGTGTGAACTAACAAACGCACACCGGCTTAAAAGTGGATGCATCACTTAAAAACCATGAATTCCATTTGCTTATAAAAAGACAACACCATTGTCTCTTTTTCTAACCATTGTCTGTCGGCCTCTTTTCAGAGTGGAACGCTTATGGAGAGATGTTTGGAGTTGTGTAACATCAAACTACTACAGTGCACTACACAGCTTAGAGGAAGACGGCTTCATTGACCTGTCTAATGAGATCCACCTTTTCTGTGTGCAATATGTGTTCATACCTCGTCTGCGGTCAGATCTACAGCATTTCATAGACAGTTGGAACAACCATCCGATCAGCACAGAGGCAAACCTTACACCTCAACAGATGTGGACCATTGGAATGCTTCAAGCACCTGTGCCTGAGCCAAACTATGCAGAGGTAGGCATGCAATAAATGATTGGCATGACGATTTTTTCCTCAATAACTTTGTCATCATCAATTTGTCTGTTGGCTTGTGCAGCTTCAGCTCATTGAACATCAGGGGGAGGTATATGAAGACACTGACCATGGGGTTGTTGTTCCTGATACTCCATCCCCCCTGTCTGCAGAGAATCTTGCTCTGCTGCAACATGAAGTGAATCCTAACTCTGACTCCTTATCCTTTGGTCGGGACATATATCTGCGTGCTCTTCATTTTGTAATGAGTGAGTGATGCTCCACACTATTAGGTGCTTCATGATTATAGCAAACATGTTTTGAAAAAACATAAAAATAATAATAATACGAGGCAAATTATTTCAATGTTATGCTTAGGCCTGGAATGATAACCGATAAATCGATTTATTGCATGATAAATTAAAATTAACGTAACAATTTTTCTGGCCTCAATATATTTCTGTGTGCTTGCGTGTATTTGTTTTACTCGTCTCTCACCTCCAAAGATGCTGGATGACAAGAGGGTTTACTCTGTGCACCGGTCTCACAGGGTTCCTACAGATCCATAGAAAATCTTAAAAGGCATTGAATTCTTCAATATAAAACTAAGGCCTTGATTGATAATAAAATGTCTTAACTCAGTCTTTCAAAGGTCTTAAAATTGTTAACATATCATAAATAGGGTTTTATTTTCTAATCCATTTCAAATATTAAAATAATTAAAAGTAATTTTTTTGAATAATTTACTGAACGGCTTGCTGTAACGTCTTGTGCTATCCCGATTGCAGAAACCCTAGTGTTTCTGGCCAGAAAACCTTGCAACCTTCCATGTTTCCGACCCGGTGGCAATCTCACGGCTCTGTTCTTGTTCTTGCAGAAAAACAAACAGCTTTATCGCAGCCCAATGTAAGTCCATTGGCATTATTAACAGTGTTACCAAGTTTTCTTTTTATAAGCGATGGCTGGCTTGTTTTTTATTAAGTCACTTATAAAAGTGCTTGTTTAGACCTTAAAGTCTCTTATTTGGGCAACAAACTAGCCACTAGCAGGATTCTCACCAGGATTTTTTTCCTGTGTTACTGTGGACCGCTGGCGGGGGTGCGAGTGTTGGTGCGTCGCAAAGATGGTGCGTGCGCTATTGTGTCGATCCGTTCTATGGCTGTATTCCCAAATTAACTGAACTGTCATGTCTTTTACAAATGTTTCTACATATTAAAGCAATGTTATAATAGATAGTGGGTTCTGCAAGAATTCACCTTGGTTAATTGGCTAGATGCCTGCAAAAAAGTGAAAAAATGACTTACTACCTGAAATGTGCACAGCTTCTAAAAAGTTTCATGCCAACTCAGAAGTGGTTCCACATCTTGTAGAAAACTCTATGGTGTACAGACATGCTGTAGATAGTTTCATGCTTCAGTCATAAAATGCAAAGTGCCTTATATGTGAGCTTATCTGCCACACTCTTACTTTTTACAAATTACTTGGAAAAACATTTGAAACATTTTTCTCAAAGCATTCTAAAAAAACTAACCCAACCTTTGTATGTTGATGCTCACAGCCCATTTGTAAATGGCCAGACACTACTCAGACACCACTCATCTTTGAATTAAGGTAACTAACACATGGTTACTCATATACACCTTAAAACTTTAAACTACAGGCAGTTAAGTATTTTCTGTCAAAGTCCAAAATTTAACATATGTGTTCTGCTTGACAGCCATAACACGCCTGGGGCTTCCTGATGGATAACTATGTCACCTTAGTGATTACCCCCTGGAGCTTGCTCTATGTCCATAACTTCACCATTGTTTGGTCCCCGCCTTCCTGTTATTGAATTTCTGCACTTCCTTTACTCACCGAGTGAGGTCTTAAAGTAAAGGCAGTAAAATACAATGTTGTAACATGGCACGACTCTGTATAGTAAATTTGAAAATACAACTATATATGAAATGTTATCGCTTGTGTGCATTGCTGTTTTATAAGTGAACTTTTGAAATGTGAAGATATTGGTTGTTCATATTATTTTTAAATGGTAATTTTTGATCTACAATGAATAAGTGAAAGGATCTTTAAAATCCAAAAATGATAACTAGTGTTGATCTTTCATTTCTATATTGTGATGTTCCCCCAAGCCAAGATGTATTTGTTATAAATATGAAAGTTAATAGAGGAACTGTGTGGAATGTGTGCTGTGGAGCTCTCCAAGCTGCTGCTTGTGTTGCTGCTAGCGGTCCATGTGACCAAAAAACAAATTATGATTAAATGCTAATTAGAACATTAAAAAAAAAAAATCTCTTGGACCGGGTTGTTTTTCAGAAAAACATGCAATGATAAAGTATTTTATAATAAAAAAAATTACCATATAAATATGTAATTATATAGCAGGGGTGGGGTGAATAAAAGGTGACAGCACAAACATTCGGTTATGCCGAACATTCATTTTAAAGATTTTTTTTCTTTGAGTAGTGATAGCAATTTGTAGGTCAATACATTAACATTACTGTCTGTCTCCACAAAGCTTTTCAAAGTTCAGAATAAAAAAATGTGCACGCCTCCATGTCGCAGAACAGACCTGCTGTCAGTTATACATGGAATTGCGTCCAAACTGGATTGCAAAGTCTTACTGCTGAGTTAGGGCCTGACATGTGATGACATGATCAGTTTTTTGAATACATTATGCATGGTTAGCTTCAAAGTAAAGATGTTTTGTATAGCTGTAAAACAAACAAGCATAATTAATATATTAGGAATGAAACATCAATATCTAATTGTAGATCGGCGTGTTATGACATGATTTGCCAAAGACTAATAATAGAAGAGAGTTCACTCGTCTGTGTGTTGTTGATTTGGCGGAAAGCCGCTCTGAATGTGTACAAAGTGTTTAAGTACATTTTCATTCAAAGTGAATGATCTTAGGGCGAAACGGCCACTTTTTCTAAGGGGTCGCTGCACCACAGTCAGCACTCCTATTTACCACGGCCTTGCACGAAGGGAAAATTTGATCAACATAAAGCGTCTGCTGAGTAAAGCTTTGAATATCATATTTGGGGGGAGTGTTGGCCTAGTGGTTAGAGCAGCGCACTTACAACCTGAGAAGGATGCAAGTACCCGGTTTGATCCAAACTGCCTGCACTCTGGCTCCCTGAGCAAGACCCTTAAACCCAGATTGCTCCCCAGGTGTCACACAGTGGCAGCCCACTGCTCCATGAGGGTCTGGGTTAAGATGCAGAAGTGAATTTCTCCATTGTGAGATCAACATGTTCATTGTCTTCTATATATTCACACGTCTCTAAACATAAAAAAAAAAATCACAATCAGAAGCATCAGACCCTCATATACTGAAGAGAACTTACTCTTTAATTCAACATTATTTCAATGTTGGGGCAAAATACAGAATAATAATGACTCGACAGTAGAACCTGAATCGCCCGGCTGCAATGAACATTTGAATATTCTAATCAATTAAGTTTGGGACCTGCTTGAGTTTAATAACCCTGAGTGAAAAATACTGTATGTATACCAATTATTAAAACAGATTTTCATATGACAATAAAATACATTATCATCATAGGATCAAATTCTAATAATAATGATAATTAACAATTATTATAGTAACAAACGACTATAACTTCAACACAATTTGTAACACCTCTTGACACTTTCTGGAGCGGTCAACACTTAATAGCAAATGCCATACCCATCCTTATCTGGGAAACAAGCAGAAATACCAAATAAGGAAATGTTTTTCAATTTTGCTTTGTATAAATTTGAGAATAGTGTATAACACTCATGAGACGAAACAGCTTTTGAGCATGTTGCCAATTGAAATGATCCTGTCATGTTAAATTTTTCTTCAGAGAAGGAGGGGGTGTCAATGCTGGTATACCATTAATTGTACAGTATATCTCAGAACCTTTCTATATGCAAGACCATGTTAGCAAATATTATGAAAAAAAATACATGGTTGCAAGAAAATAACAGAACACCCAGCAGACAACATGAGACATTTTGCAGTAGTGTTGATTAATAATAGTTTGAGAGGATGAGGGTCGAACTAAAATTAAACTGACTTAACACATCAGCTTTAGTAAAACAAGTTAAACAAAGTTAAACCCTATCAAACCTGGAACCATATCTAATTGCAATTTCAAGGTTGGAGTTAAATGCTTCGCTGTCTTTCAGATGGACTGTGGGAAATGTTATTGTGGTGCTACATGCACTCACAACAGGGTAGCACACTGTGTGCTTTGGCATGCGTTCAAGACAAGTGTGATCAAAAAGAACTTTGATTTTAAAATTCCGCCTTTCTGAAACCAGCAGGTGTCTGTGAGCCTGCCCTGTCAGCCATTGCATCACTCGAGGAACAGAGAGAGGTGATCCATTGTCTTCTTCCTCAGGCTGACTGGCGTCCCCATCTTTAGATATACATAGTCAAATGCAAGAAAATTGTGAAAAATTTCAAAAGTCACTTTGAAATCACATTTTTCATTCAAAATAACTGAGCTGCATCAATGCTATCCATCAGAGAAATTACCAAAAGCGAGGGGAGCTGCACTGGTAGAAGCACATACCTATATGATAGTGACACTCCCAGTATGCATTTTACTTGCATCTGACCTTAAAGGTTTGGTTCTGTTTTTTTTGACATGAAGTTGTATGATTTCATCACAATAGTAACTCGTGGCCTCAAGATACTAACTCTATCTTGAGGCTACAAGTTAATATCTTGAGGCCACGAGATAGTTATAATAATGTTTTTTTTGCCAAAGTGGGACTAGGGGGGCTCCGTAGCTGGGAGCTATTGTTTAACAATGAAAATTAGACAAATCTCAGCTAACAGGACAAAGTTGTAGCCTGGTCACTGTTGATGCACTAAAGCTGCTGGTGAGGAAGTCATACAGAGTTATGTCAAAAAATTCAAACTATCCTTTCAAATCAGCTGCTGCAGACAGAGTACCTCTGCTATTTACATGTAAAAATATACTGCCAATACATACCCTCCAGGGCGAGAAGGAAATCTTGAAAGAACTCTAGTATCTGTGCCTCTGTCTTGTGTTTTAGCGATCCAGTATCACTCATCACTGGAGCCAGGCTGGAGATGATGTAATGTGAATCAACCTTGAAACAATAAAGTACATTGGGCTGGTTCGTTTTGGATTGCATCTTATAAATAAAGACAGACAAAAGCATTTCCAAAATTTTTTAGCACAGAAACCAGTATGAGATGTGATATTTAAATTGGAATCTAATCCTAAAATGTCACAAGTCGTTAGCTATCATTTGTCGTTAGATCACGAGTAAAATAGTGGGGAGATGAAATAATGAACCACTTTAAACTCAACAGTACAGTTATTATAGGTCGGAACCAATAAAAATCTTAAAAAAAAAAAAAAGCCCACTCCATTAATTGTCAAAGAAGGGGGACAAGGCAACACAGAAAGCCAGCTCAAAGCGAGGGGTGTGAGACCTACAGGTTTTGGACTTTAATGTTTCTATTCTGCCCTGCGACAGACTGGCGACCTGTCCAGGGTGTACCCCGCCTCTCGCCCAGTGAATGCTGGAGATAGGCAACAGCGAACCCTGCTACCCCATTGCACTTTGTGCTTTAACTTTACTATTTAAATAAAGTTCCCTTGCTTTAGGCTCGTGAGCAAGACATAGTTTGAAAAGCATTCATGTGGCATACGTCTTTGCTTTATGAGCACCCGTCTTGTGTATTTTACCTTATCATCCCCAATCACGAAAAGATCCCGACATTCCTTGGGTTTCCTTTGCATAACTGACAGCAGTTGATAGAGTTCAAGGCCTTCTCGCAGTTGTTGAAGCATTGGTGTACGCTTCGTGGTGGCATGTAGCAAAACAGCTCTAACAAAAACAAGATAGACATTGGACATTGACTTTAGTGCTTATTTTACAGCAGAATTTTTGGAAAACATTGCTGACTCCCAGTGTTTGGCTTCAAACGTTTGTACGCAATGTTTAAGCACAGATTTGTGTGTAGCACGATTTGTGAATGAGGCCCAGTGACCTTAACTCTTCATCTGTAGACCCAAGCTTGTTCGCTACACCTTGGTAAAAATCCATGATACATTTGGTGAGCTATGGAAAAAACAATGCATATACCTTACAATACTGTCTTGATGCTCCAATGTGATGGGGCCAGTGTATCCACAGTTGAGGATTTCCTCTGTGTACTGCGTCACATCAGTTGCATTTTCAATCTAAAAGCATATTTTACAAAAATTATTTAAAAATATATATATATTTTTCACACAACACTTTCATAATAGAAAGGATATGTGCTTGAGACTTAAAGGGATAGTTCACTTTGAAATTAATTTTTGATATGTTTTATCTTACCTCAAGGGCATCCAAGATGTAGGTGTCTTTGTTTCCACAGTATTTTCAATTTTGATATTTTTAGGTAAAACCGTTGCTGTCTGTCAGTCATACACTGGAGGTGCAGGGGGTCAACCTCAAAGAGCAGTCAAAATTAAACATGATTTAATGACTCGTAAATGTAAGTACACATTAATGGCCTAAGACACGAAACAAGCGGTTTGTGTGAGAAAACCAACATGTTAAATAAAGGCCTTTTTCACTTTTGTAACCCTGAGTGCCTGGACTTGGATTTTTTTTCCAATTTTTATGAGTATTTATATCGTTTTTAGCTTGTGTAATCATATCCACGTCCAACTGATCTGAGAGCAGGGTGCTTCGGTCAGCGCATGCGCCGGAAGTGATCGCTTGCGCGCCTACGTCACTCTTTGTTTATACAGAGATTTCGGAAGTTTTACCTTTCACTAAACATATTTAGATATACGGGAAACCCGCAATGGAAGACGATTTCGGGATATCTAAATATGTTTAGTAAAAGGTAAAACTTCCAAAATCTCCGTGTAAATATTGAGTGACGTCACACGCAAGCGATCACTTCCGGCGTAACATTGAACTGATTCAGTTCGGTTCAAGTGGACACTGCAAAACTGATTCAGATCACTTGGGCGTCACTGTGATTACACGAGGTAAAAACGATATAAATACTGTTGGTTTTCTCACACAAACCGCTTCTTTCGTGTCTTAGGCCATCAATGTGTACTTACATTTACGAGTCATTAAATCATGTTTAATTTTGACTCTCTGTGCATGCTTTTTGAGGTTGACCCCCTGCACCTCCAGTGTATGACTGACAGACAACAACGGTTAATTATCAAAATTGAAGATACTGTGGAAACAAAGACACCTACATCTAGGAAGCCCTTGAGGTAAGCTAAAACATACCAACAATTAATTTCAAAGTGAACTATCCCTTTAAACACACCTTTTCGATTAATGTGGATAACTCTGCATCATACACGTTTTCTTTTGTGATGTCCTTCAGTGTCCCAGTCACCAAAAACTGGTAACACCACTCTTGAAGAAAGCGTGGAGGCGGCCCACCTTGGCCTAGGCTCACTGCAAATATTTCCCCAGCAACTCTGTATATAAGAGGGGGGAATAAAAATGTAATGTTATGCCAAAATTATGAATCGACCTACTTTTTTCATTCTGGCCATTCCCATCAATATGTTTCCAAGAGAAAGGTTTTTGTTGAAAATGCTGCCATGTGAGTATAATATTCCTCAAGTAACAGTTTGCCATCCAGGCCAACATCCTCTGTTTACCTCATGTAGCGAAGACTGAGGGAATATATTTTAAATATGAAAGCGGATATTTAAGATAATTGTGATTAAATTATCAAGACATCTCAAAGATCACATTGCTCAGACTAAAACCACCTTGTGAGATTACATGCACCTTGACCTTTCAATTCAAAAATCTTAGTTCAGAGTCCAACAGCACCTTCTGGCCACATTTAATGAAATTGTGTCAAGCTGTTTGTCCTGAGATATCAAGTTACCAAGAATAGGATATACTACAAAAGTTTTTGCTTGTGTTGTAGGAACTCTAAGTTTACATCACTTTGGATCCCAGTGAGTAGTTGGACACACAATAGTATACATAGTACACCATTATAGTATACACCATTGTGTAAGCACATGTAAATAAGTAATAGCGTTAATATGAGAAAATAAATAAAAGTGACAAACTTGAAATGGTTTTTGTCCAGGTCAGTGATTGAGTATTTTGGGATCTTCCCCTTCTCCCCTCCTTCAAAGAGTCGCATCTCTATCCCAGCAACCATCTCTGTGGACATAAACCAGAGAACAACCTCAGTCAATGGGTTTTCATTGTTGATTTCCAAGTATTACACCCTTTTGAGTGGCTTACTACTTACCAGACAGGAACTCCTTTCTTAATGCCCCGGTGTCGATGCCAGCTTCTCCTATGAAGGTGATTTTTAACTCGTTTGCTGGACCTCCAGTCTTCTGCCGCTGCCAAAGCTTTAGACCTCTCTCTAGCATGTTGTCCCTCGAGACACAAATGTTGAAGCTCTTCCCCCTGTCAACTTTTGAGTCAACCCAACGCAGAACATCTTCTTCACTGTTAAAATAAATGATTGCATCTTAAAAATCTAAATATATTTTGGCAGATAAATCAAACTTTCAAGATCCCTTTTTTGTACCATGAGATGTCATCTATTGGATTTTGTGCTGGCTCTTGCAGATCATGGGGACTTTCAGGTCCATCATCTGGGCTCCTTACAGGACTATAACTAATGAAAGTTACAACGAATTACAACTAAACACAGCCAACCAAAATATTTGATGTTATTAAGTGACTTGACGTACCTCTCTCCACAGATACTAGCGTGGAACTCAATGTTATGGATTGGGTAGTATTTGTTACATATCGGGCATATTATCTTATTTGGCTAAATAGGAAGATGTACAGACAGAATTAGTTTACGTTTTGATAGCAAACCCCCTCATCATAAATGGTAAATGCTCATTTATGTTTTCACTCAAAATCTGGAGTAATAAAAATATAAACAAATTATAGCAATATTATTCTGTCCTACATAGAACCACACCTTGTTTGAAGATGGCACTACATTCACAGGAATGGGAGAATCAAAGGTCACAGGAATGGGAGAATCAAGCTCCTCATCTTCTTGCTGAAAATGCAGCCATACAATGTGTCAGATAACCTGATTGGCAGTTGTCAGTCATTTATTATTAAATACAAACCAAGAGTTGCCAATTTGCAACATAAACTTTTTTAAGCCAGGTTTTCTTATAGATATGGGTATCAGGCAATCATCTTTGATCTATGTATTTGTAATATTTAAATTCATCTTTCAAATCAATTTTTAAAATTTATTATGACTAAATTTTATCATCATGATTTATTGTATGCCAATACAGATGATAACAATTGTAGAAAAAATAAACACCACATGGATTTTGGGATAGTTTTGATTCACTTCTGGATTAATGACACCATTTTCCAGGAATATTCAGGGATAGTTTTGAAAACAGTTCGTTTGGAGGCATGGTGGCAACATCCATCTTTACTTGCATTAGGTGGAAAAATGTGACAAGGCAGGCATCTCACCTCTGAATCACAAAGAGTTGTCTGAGATGTCCCTTCACAATCACCTTGCACATGCAGGGCTAGCATTTGCAAAGGCATGACCATTTTGCACTGTGTGCATGTCGCCTTTGGCATAAGACTGAACTCTGGAGCATCCATTGGCAGTGGTGTCATATCAATCTTCTCTTGGAGAGGAGCAATATATAACATAAATTTCCCTCCTGCAGAGGCGCTTCTGAGAACAGAGCCAGTGTATCCCTCTGACTCTAAGGCGACAGCGGTCATTCTCCTCCTTCCATGCCCACCTGCAAATTCAAGTTTTAAGGGAATTAAAAGTAGTGCCTGCATACAAGGTATATCAACATCAGTGTGCTTAGCCAGCCAGAGTAAATTGACCAATTCATGGCATACTTGTATGTGAAAAATGTTGACATGAGGAAAAGTATCATCACCTTAATGATTATTTAGTTTTTCATCTGAAAATAAGCGCTTGAGTCAGGGAGTTTGCAACCCCCTGACTGTGATTCGTCTTTTCTGTTTGTTTTGGTGTGTTTGGGACATTTCTGGATCCCCCCACCCACCTCCCCCCCAACCACCATGTAATATTAAACTGTTTACAAACAGAAATGGAAAAACTACAGATTCTACCTTTGATCGAATGTATTGTTTAACATACCAGCTGCTTTATATAGAAGCCATCCTCCTTCAAGACTTGTCATTTTCGGGTAAGTGCTCTCCAGTAAATTGGACAACTACACACATAAAGACAAAGCACTATATAAGTTCAGTCCATTTACCATTCACAACAATTATTGTACACTACCGGTCAAAAGTTTAAGGTCGTTAAGATTTTTTATGTTTTTAAAAGAAGTCTCTTCTGCTCACCAAGGCTGCAATTTTTTGATAAAAAATACACAAAAAACACAGTAATATTGTGAAATATAATGACAATTTAAAATGACTTTTTTATGTTAATATATATTAAAATGTAATTTATTCCTCTGAAAAAAGCTGATTTTTTTTTAAGCATCATTACTCCAGTCTTCAGTGTCACATGATCCTTCACAAATCACTATAATATGATGATTTTATGCTCCAAAAACATGTATGATTATTATCCATGTTGAAAACAGTTTTTTTCACATTTTTATTTCAGGATTTTTTGATGAATAGAAAGTTCAAAGAACAGCATTTATTTAATTAGAATCTTTTCTAACATTATAAATGTCTTTACTGTAACTTTTCATAAATGTAACTTATTTGATTTCTTATTTATTTCCCCACAAAATAAAATACAAATTCTTACTGACCCCAAACTTTTTAAAGGGTAGTGTTTAATGTAACAAAAGCTTTCCATTTCAGATAAATGCTGTTCTTTTGAACTTTCTATTCATCAAAGAATCCTGAAATAAAAATGTAAAAAACTGTTTTCAACATGGATAATAATCATACATGTTTTCGGAGCATAAAATCATCATATTACATTCTAAATAAATTACATTTTAATATAGATTAACATAAAAAAGTCATTTTAAATAGTCATAATATTTCACAATATTACTGTGTTTTTTGTGTATTTTTTATCAAAAAATTACAGCCTTGGGGAGCAGAAGAGACTTCTTTTAAAAACATAAATAATCTTACCGACCTTAAACTTTTGACCGGTAGTGTATGTATATCTGTAAAAATATATCTTGGAGAAGGCAATGATTAAAGAGGTAGGGGGAGATAAAGAAAGATGCTTCTCCTCACCTCTTCATGGCTTAAATCTTTACTGATCAAAAGAGTCCTCTTTCCCAGCCCTGCCTGTAGTAGCTCCAGTTCATCTTGTGTTGTCGGTGTGGTTTCTGCTGTGTCACTCAGTAAGAAAAAGGCCATGTCAAATCCTTTCCATGTTTTTTGTTTCTTGTTATTTACGTGTTTTTCCACAGCTTTTCTTTTGAAAAATCCAGGGAATGATCTACAAAAAGTCAAAAAATGTGAAAGCCTTGTTTGTAAAATTTTACTAAATGAGGTCACAGTAAAAAAAAAAAAAAATATATATATATATATATATATATATATATATATATATATTTATGTGGAATAATATCTCACAAATCCCCTACGACCCACATGGCTGACATAAAAAATAAATGCAATATTGGTGGCTGCCTACACTACCTGGACATCTCATTTTGTACAGTTACAGGAGGAAATATGCCCTGACTCTCCTGCCTGGGTTTTTCTATTGTGCGATTGAGCACCGACAGAAAAGTCTGCGAAGCAGCAGTGGCCGCCTGCTGGTCATACTGGAATGAGAGATTAGATCCTAAATTAATCACTGTTACCAAATATAACACCAATCACTTTAGATGAAGCAGGTAGAGTATACAAAGACTAATAATTATTTATTCCTTTAATTCAAAAAGAAAAGATTAAAAAGTGTGAATAAGGGTCAATAGCAAGGGGAGTGTAACCTGAGTATGTGATAATCGCCTGGCCATGAAGACAAGCACAAGAGATGATGTGTAACAGTATTTCTAAATGGGAGAAAGGAAAAATGACTGTTTTGAAAATGGTTATGACCTACAGTACAATACCACAGACATCCATATAAAGAGCAGTGTTTAAATCGGAGGTCCTCTTGATCAACCATGAACAAAATCAACTCATCCATTCTTACCTTTACTAAGCAAGCCTGTTCCAAAACGTATTAGTGGACTTCTTTGCCTGAAAAAAATTATTTGATCATCATAAAAAACAAGTCCATCTGCATCCTGGCAAGGTGTTGCAATTAATGTGGGTAACGTTAGCTATCATTTTGCTTAACGGTTAACTATAACTAAACAACACTACTGAGCAGTTATAACTGAGAGTGCAGCAATACCTGCATTGGTAAAGACTGGTTATTGATACTTTATATAATTTAATGCAAAAAATAATTAGGCTATCACATTTATAAATGAATGTGTCATGGATACAGAGGACAGCAACACAGGACAAAAACTTAGAACTAGTCAGGACCAGAGTAAATTATCAATTATTGTCTAATGAGTGCACACTGCACACACTAGCTCAAAAAGGTTTCAAGGTTTTCACCGTCGTCCAATAATATCTGTCTGCAGAGCTGCAGAGCCACAGTTTCACCCCAGCAGTTTTAGAGCAGCTCTGCAGTCAGACCCTTCTCCCGTCGTCACATTCTCGGTGGTAACCCGGATGAGCGGCCATTATGGAGGCACTCGGATGTAAACAACAGTATGGATTGCACTGTTTAGGAACACATTGTAACACAGGAAAAAACCCGTGGTAGATGCGAAATCATATAGAGATGGACTCACCGAGCGCATCGGCGAACGTTATCAACTAGCCGTTCGCGGACTTTGCTATCCTGTCTGAATATATTTAACTAGATATCTAACCTAACACCATCACAAAACGTGAACTAAGTTAGTAAGCTTACAATTTAATGTAAATATCAACAGAATAGGCTAATAATATGACACCCATTATTTTCAACCTGTTTTATCTACTTACCGACAACTTCACGGCTGCTCCCTCCAGTCTTGCTGGCAAAAAGCTTGCTGGCGAGTGGCGCGAACATGACTTCATTGTCAGAAAGATGTCGTTGGTGTAGACACTTGTCAATCAAACATGTCTGACCAATGGAGAAGCACCCGCCCACTTCGGAACGTTTGTTTCAAAATGATTCAATCAAAAAAAATTGAACTTCAAAACTTTTTGCACTTCGAAAAAAAAAAAATGATTCGATCAAAACAATCTGAACTTTTCTTTCTTTAACACATTTTCTTTAATTGCCCTTTTTATTCACGTTTTATTTTTTTTTGCATTTGAACAGTTTTTTCTTTGATTGAAAATAATTTTTTTGATTGAAACAACTTTTTTGGGATTGAATTATTAAGACACAAATGTCCTACCCATGTATGGCCCAAACACAAAAAAGATTACTTCAATCAAAGAGAACGTCTTCAATCAAAAAAAAAAAAAGTGTTCAAAACTTCAAATGCAATTTTTGGAGTCTCAAATATATTTTTGGATTCAAATACTTTTTTTCTTTGATTGAAAAGTTTTTTTTTCATTGAAGTGAAGGTTTTTTTAATTGAAAATGTTTATCTTTTCATTGAAGTGACTTTTTTATTGATTATGTTATTTGTTTGTTTGAAGCAACTTCTTTTTTTGATTGAATGATAAAGACACAAATGTCCTACCCATTATATGGTCCAATCAAAAAACAATGTTACTTTAATTAAAAAGGTTGCTTTAAACAAAAAAAACCGGACTTCTATCAAAGAAAACATTTTCAATCAAAGAAAAGCAGTTTTCAAATGTATTTTTTTGAGTCTCAAATATATTTTTGGATTCAAATACTTTTTTTCTTTGATTGAAAAGTTTTTTTTTCATTGAAGTGAAGGTTTTTTTAATTGAAAATGTATTTTTTGATTGAAGCAACATTTTTTTTGATTGAATAATAAAGACACAAATCTACCTTCATACGCTACGACTAACGTTACAGTATAACGGCTGACAGGACAAAGTCCGTTTTGCTAAGGTGAAAGACTTTATTTCATGTTATAACATAACATACTTTAATCAAGCACGCAAAGTGGAAAAGGAGTGACTGGGGCGCGGGGAGCAGTGCAGAGAGCTCTGGGTCAGCACTAAGCAGCTTGCTTGGAGCAAGGCGTGCAGCGCAAACTCTAATTACATATCACATTTAAAATATATATTCTTTATATTGATATATCGCTCAGCCCTAATTTCAACATTACTTTTTTTATCTTTTTTTTATCCGAGCACAGATATTGACTCGTATTACTCGTATAATATTTGTACTCGACAAAAGTGCTTTATCCGTACCGGATACTCGTTTCAGCCGAGTATCCGGCTCAACTCTACTTGTTAGATGTTTTTGCTATTATTGCTGCGTGCAAATGTGAATAAAAGTACCGGTAAGTGTATTTCTTATCATCATTCGTTACTAGACACCCAACTGATACCTATTTTCTGATCTGGAGAGGACGTCAAGGCAACGCTACTTTTGCGTCATC